TGACACCAGTCATATTTTTGTCGTTTTTTTATTTAATGTATAGCCTAATAAAAGAAGAATATTTTTGACAATTTTGATGACAAAATATTTTATAATAAATTATCTACTTTTTTTATAAAAACAGTTTTGTGATTTGTCCCGTTCCTATGCTTGAAATGGCCGATATGTCATTTCCGTCAAAAGTTAATAGGCATTTTTTAAATTTAAAAATAGATTGGGTTTTTGAATTTCGCATACCCAAAAACCCCTGAATTAGTCAAAATTACTAATTGTTATAGCGAAAAAGCAGCAGAACATTTAGCAGTCAATTTACATGTAAAATTGTCCCCTGAATCTGAAAATATTGTCAAAAGTTGGAAAAGTAGAACAGTTTTTGAGATATAGTCAATTTTCCATATAATATGGAATTGACTATTTACTTTCATAATTTTAGGATTCAGGGAACAATTTTACATAAGATTTTGGTGTTAAATGTTGGAGATAACAGGGTTAACCATGGTATAAGTAAAAAAGCAGCCACTAATAACTGTAGTAAGTAGTCATTTTTGACTAATTTATTTTTAGAGAGTAGGTACCTATTACAAAAAATATACATTCGCTTCGTTTTGTTACTCCAACTTAGGTATACAGAGTGTCCACAAATTAAGATCGACAATTATAAAAAATAATGTTATTAATCATAGAAAGCCATGGAAAGGACATTTCAAGTACTAAAATATAAGTAAGTAAAGTTTTTAAAATCGTTTTAATTTTAAATAAATACCGAATTGTTCCCGTTTAAAATGTAACACAGTGTATATAAAAAAAATTTTCTTTAAAGAAGTTTTAAGAAATTTTCTACATAGAACACTTTTTTTATTCAAAAATTGATTTAGTTGAATTTACCGTTCTTTCTTCGAACGTTACAAAGTAAATAAAACGAGATGTAAGTAATAAAACACTTTTTAACGTTTAATTTGTTTGTTTACTTTGTAAGTTCAAGCTTTGGATAATGCGGCATAGAACTCGAAAATTGTACAATGAAATCAATACAGACTCTTTTAGTAGCCACATAAAATCTAGAGATATGAATATTTTAGACTGGGCCAAAAAAATTATTTTTTTTAAGTATATCGAAAATATGGCTGTGAAAGTTTGAGACCATAATATTAATATTAAATCAACGCAATTTTAGGTTTTTTTTCCTCAGCAAGTTTTTGTCTCAGAACTCCCAAACTATTGAGTTTAACAAAATTGACTCAAAAATATTTTTTTAAGAAAATTAAATGCTCTACAAAAAATTTCCGTCAGATGAACCGTTTCCTTAAAATCATGCCTTAAAAATTGGTATAGTTTTACATTTTGATCCTTTACCTTTGGAATTTTGTAATTCATGTAAAAATCAGTACCCAGAAAAAAAACCGATGAATATTCTTATGGGAAATCAAATGCTTTACAAAAAAGCCTCTTAACATTTTTGGCTAAATTCACTCAATCAAATCAGGTTAAAGTTGAAATCAAAACGAAATTCTTGTTTTTTCCTCTAGATTTATTTTGTTATGGGTGATAATTTGATTTTTTTCTTTATAAATGTGTATAACTAATTAACAATTTCCAATAAAAAAACAACATGATTGTTATTATTTAAAAGATTAAATAGGTGAACAGTGAAAATAATGTGTTATTTTTTTTTTAATTTTCAGTAATTTTATCAATAACATAAAGATATTCATCGATAAAAGAATTCTAGTTTTTAACTGACCCAAAAAAAAATCTAGAGCGGAAAAAACAAGAATTTCGTTTTGACTTCAAATTTAACCTTGAATAACTTTTGATGGAGTGAATGTAGCCAAGAATGTTAAGAGACTTTTTTTGTAGAGCATTTTATTTCCCATAAGAATATATATCTATCTACAAAATTCCAAAGTTAAAAGATCAAATTGTAAAACTATACCAATTTTTAAGGCATGATTGTAAGAAAACGGTTAATCTGAAGGGAAATTTAATTTTAACCTTTTCGATATACTTTACAAAAAAAATAGTCGATTTTTTTGGCCCAGTCTAGAATATATAATTATGGCACGCCGTTTTAGCATTTATTAGATAAAAGTTTAAAGATTAAAGTTTAGCACTTAAATTATGTTTTAACAGAAATTTATAAACTTATATTTTTTTAAACTCAAAACAATTTTAAAAATATTTTAAATATACAATATAATAATATAATATAATATAATATAATATAATATAATATAATATAATATAATATAATATAATATAATATAATATAATATAATATAATATAATATAATATAATATAATATAATATAATATAATATAATATAATATAATATAATATAATATAATGCAACAGTTAAAATTTATGTTTAAAAATATTGATTTTTAGAAGTTTTGGTTGTAATATTTTATTCTACAAAATTATTGGTTTAAATTTTTAAAGAGTCATTTAAATGATAGTTGATAAATTTTCGGATTAAAAATTTATCGACTATCATTTTAATGACTCTTTACAAATTTAAACCAAATTTTTTTATTTTTAAGAATTTTAAAGTGATATATTTTTAAGACAAAATTTACAACTTTACATTTAAATCTAAGTCGAACATTTTTAAATTACAAAGTGTAAACGTAGCTTTAGTAGAAGGCACAAGAGTCTGGGATCGGAGCCACGATGCAGCCAGTTTGATCCGTTGATGTTTTTTAATTGTCGAATTAACAGTACAATAGGCACTAAAAATGTTGTTGTTCTATTATTAAATTTATGTAATAAAGAAACATTTCATTACGATAATTTGTAAAACGCGTCAAATATTTATGGAGCAAGCACGATTTGGCAACATTGTGCCTTCTACTAAAGGTACGTTTACACTTTGTAATTTAAAAATTATCGACTTACATTTAAATGTTAAGTTATAAATTTTGTCTTAAAAATGCATCAATTTAAAATTGTTAAAAATAAAAGTTATTGGTTTAAATTTGTAAAGAGTCATTTAAATGGTAGTCGATAAATTTTTAATGCAAAAATTACCACTTTAAAATTTAAAACTAACATTTAAATGTAATGTTCAAATTTTTGTATTGAAAATATGAATATTTTTAAACTTACACTTTTATAGTTGCATTTTATATTTAAAATATTTTTTGATTATCAATAGTTTTAAGTTTACAAAAATTTAACTTTTTAAACTATTTTGGAAGAAAATGTTTTATATGTGTTTTTATTTTAAATTAGACCAGGGTCGATAATTTTTGAAACCAAAAAAAATAACAGTAGGATGAAACCCATTGGAAAAGGAGAAGAATATAATAAAAATGAAAGGAAAAATAAATTACGGGCGATCTGACTTCGGGAAGTTTAAGGGTTTAAGGGTAAAAAATGGTTTATCTCGATTTCCGGCAAAACTACAAGTCCTATGGAAAAAAGTTAAATGGCAAAGTTGTAGGTAATAAAAGGATCTACAACTTTTGTAATTACAATTTTTTTACATAACCTCAAAATTTATGTGAAAAATTCAAAAAACCAAGTTTTTGGTTTTTTATTTTTATCTTTTTCAAAAAAAAATTTTTTCCACGAAATTTGGTGAAAACTTACCTTTTTATGTCCCAAATACACTGTAATTTATTTGATTTGAAATATTTATTATTTCGCCTTATTTTGACTTAATATCAAAAAAGCACCCTAATTTTCAATCGAAAATTCTCGTGTCAAAATATCAGCTTTTTTTAAAAGTCGGTGTGCTTTTTGTTCGTTGAAATCTCTACTTTCTGATGGTGTAAAAAAATATACATTACTATGGTAAATGTTCTCAGAAAATGCAAAAAATATTATAATGAATAACGAAAAAAACTCGATTTCGAAAATTTATTTTAATCATTATGTACAATTTCATCAAAAAAATATGATTGTTGCAATTTTTTTTAGTTAAAAAGTTTATTTATTAAATTCTAATAACATTTATGTCAGAAAATCTCATAAAATATAAAAATACATGTAATTCATACTATTGAATTTAGATACTTCATTCTGATTACGTTATTCATTATAATATTTTTTGTATTTTCTGAGAACATTTACCATAGTAATGTATTTTTATTTACACCTTCAGAAAGTAGAGAGTTCATCGAACAAAAAGCACACCGACTTTTTAAAAAAAGCTGATATTTTGACGCAAAAATTTTCGATTGAAAATTAGGGTGCTTTTTTGATATTAAGTCAAAATAAGGCGAAATAATAAATATTTCAAATCAAATAAATTACAGTGTATTTGGGACATAAAAAGGTAAGTTTTCACCAAATTTCGTGTAAAAAAAAATTTTTTTTGAAAAAGATAAAAATAAAAAACCAAAAACTTGGTTTTTTGAATTTTTCACATAAATTTTAAGGTTATGTGAAAAAATTGTAAATTTAAAAGTTGTAGATCTTTTTATTACCTACAACTTTGACATTTAACTTTTTTCCATAGGACTTGTAGTTTTGCCGAAAATCGAGATAAACCATTTTTTACCCTTAAACCCCCCCACTCCCACTTCCCGAACTCAGATCGCCCGTAATTTATTTTTCCTTTAATTTTTATTATATTCCCCTCCTTTTCCAATGGGTTTCATCCTACTGTTATTTTTTTTCTCTTTTTACCATTTTTAAAGTCTAAAATGGCTTGATACTATTTTTAAATACTAAAAATATTTATTTAAGTTAACAAAATGCCACCCAAATAAATTATACTTGAGAAATTATTTTTATTAAAAAATGATAGTTACAAATTTTTGCAAAAATTGATAGAAAATAATATTGTTTAATACAGAAGTGAACTGTTGGATAGTAAATTTTGTCTTACAATACATGATAGTTGAAAATATTATAAATTTATAAATGTAAACCTAAAATTTTAAAACAATAAAATTTTAAATTAAAAAATTATTTAATAAATGTTAAAACGGCGTGCCATATATAATGGTGTAGACCTGTTGAAGGATCTAACCAAATACTAAGTATACTTAGGCTATAGCCTCTGGAAGTAACATATAAAATAATACGGGTACTTACGGACGAATATGTTGGACATCAACGTAGCCGGTAGACAGAAAACGATGACGAGAATATCTGCGATGGCCAGGTTGACGATAAAAAAATTGGTGACGGTTCTCATCCGGGGCGATCTGAAGACAACCGCGATAACGAAAAAATTACCAACGAGACCGACCGCAAACACCAAGAGATACGCGATGCAGTAGACTATGGTCATGACCATGGAGTGTCTGTAGAACAGTTCCGGAACGAACGCGCTTTCTGTAGCGTTGAGCGAAGCGTTCATTACCAACGTCGCCCCGTTGGTTTTAATCTCGAAGATGGCTGTTTTGTGGATGTCGCTGTTCTCCGTATGCGGAACCATGTCCATTATGTTGCCCAGATACTCTTGCGACATCATCTTCGGTTTTGCGGTGGTGGCAAAAAAAAATTTTTTCAAACCGTACCCCACGTCATCTTGCATTGATATGGCATTTAAATTTGAATCACCCATCTACTTATTCGAATATGTACGTGCTGATAAACTCCATAACTTTTAAAGTTGACGCGTGACTTTGCGCCCGCTTTTCTGGCGCTTCTCGACCGTCGCGTTTAGCGGTTCGAAGGAAAATGCATCGTGCAAGTTGCGTGCGTTACCGAAAACCGGTCAGCTTCAGCTGCGAGCGGCTGCGCTTCCTCGTTGCCTCGACGCCGAGGGACTGGAAAATTGCGAATTGAAAATTTTTGAAGACCTTGCTGTTCTTTAAAATCCCGGCTGGGGAATCAAAATTCTAAACTGTTTTGTTTTGTATTTGTATAACTGACTTTACATCTCAAGTTATACGTGTACTTTTTTATTTGAATTTGAAAAACTCTTTGGTCGAATTTAATAATTTTTTTTTCAGGGTTTTAGTAATTGATAAATGGGTTGTTTTCAACTTACATACATGTTTTTTTTTTAATATTGAATAACCAGAACTTTGTGTTGCTTTATAGGAATCCATAACATCCTTAGTTAATACAGTAAACAATTTATATATAAAATAATTAATTTTAATCTACTTTTTTTTTAAATTTGACGTTGCGTTACGTCCGTCGCGTTACCGATAGAATATTAAAAAAAACATATATATGGCAACTTTTTTGGTACCCAGCTGAATTTATTTATTCAATCAGGAAGAAGATATCGGTTGAAACAGGTGCGGGTAACGCGAATGTAATAATTGTTTGTCCGCTAAGTTACTCAAAAAAATAAGAAAAAATACTATTTTTCATGTTTATATTTATTTTAGGGCACTAAAGCTCATTGAGAGTAGTTAATGACTGTAATGTCTTATTATTATTTTTTAAATGTGGTTTTACAAAACTTTGTCCACTGCGTTACCGAGTCCACTATGTTACCTTATGGTAACGCAATGGAATTTAGGGTAACGCAATAGAATTTTTCGACAACAAAGTGGATATTTACTGTCGCTTTTATTAAAAGTAGTTTATGATTAACAAATTTAAAATTATTTGTAATTACATCCAAGGAAAAATTCCACGCAATATAAAAGTACTAAGAGGGACCTTCACCAGCTTATAGTCAAAGAAAAAGGGTGTCTACAATTTAAAAATCTAAGTTGTTATTCTGCAAGTGAGCACCACTACAAGGGATTTTGTTTATGCATTACTCTAAAATCGTACCACCCTATATAGTTTCTTTTTTACGTTTTCTGATTAAGTCCTTTGTTTACCCCAGTCCGTTGTGATACCAATGTCTATGTCGATACTTTTTTTAGTTTTTGTGAAAAAAAAATACTTAAAATGATTTTTATACCCTAACACTACGTGTTTATAAATTAGAGTTTAATTCACTAATACAGTGACTAAAAGAAAATATTAATGGTATTGTTTTTTTAACAAAGAATCGGAATGGTTTCTTTTAAAAAGTAACTTAACGAACATACATATTTAAAAAAAAGCATTCAATTTTTAATAAAAAATAAAATAAAAAATTGGAGTCAAAAGTTTTTGAACTAAGTACATTTTATTTCAAAATATTTACTTTTTTTATTGAATTAAATTTTGGATTTCAAATTGGTAAGTAACACAGTGGAGCTAGCTAAACACATTTTTCTGAAAAAAACGTAAAAAAAATTAAAAAGTGCACTGCCTGTCTTAAATGTAAGTAAACAAAACTCCAAACATTTATAAAAATCCAACCAAAAGTCAATTTAAGCAAAAAAAAATATTTTGATCTTCATTTTCCTGAAAGCGGGTGATTCTTGAAAATGACCCATTTATATAACTGACTTTATATCTCAAGTTATACGTGTACTTTTTTATTTGAATAGGAAGTGTGCTCAATTTAAAAAATAGGTATATATATTTTTTAAATTTCAAAAACTCTTTGTCCGAATTTAAAAATTATTTTTCAGGTTTTTAGTAATTGATAAGTCCAGAGGCAGCGCTGGGGCATTAAAAAAAAAATGAGTACGCTACTGCTTTTTTATAAGTTTAATGGGTCATTTTCAAACATCTTGTACATTTAAAAAAGAAAAATTAAAAACAAAAACCTGTTTTTTTCTTCAAATTTTGTTTATTTAGGGGTGTTATTTAACACCTTAAAGTGGTCAGTTGGATTTTTTTAAATAAGCCCTTAAAAAAGGAAAACAAATGGTCCCCTGGTCACAAATTTACTAACATAATAAAAAAACTTATTTAAAAATGCTTAATTATTTTGCTTAATTATTTGTTTAGAAAAAGAACATAAATGTATTATTTATAAAAAAATGTGGAGTACAAAACTAAGTAAAAGCAAAAACTATGTTCTATTTCTAAAGTTTCTTACATATATAAGTATTTTTAATATATTTTCTGTAAGGCAAAATACATTGACTAGGAAAATTACTATTAAAAAGTTGGAGGCCATTATTTTAAATTCTGTAAAAAAATTAGTCAGAATTTTTATTATTATTATTTTTAATATATCTCTGGAATATTAAATAATAGTATATTATATATCAAGTTTGATAAACGCCATTTTAATCACGAATGTAAATTAGGCAAGAGCGAGCTTGCAAGCGAGTGTTTAATTAAACGAGTGTCTAGAAAAGTTTATAAACGAGTTGCATACTATACTTTACTAAACTATTTAATAATTTTTATATTTGTATTAAGAAAATAACATAATTTCCACATTATTATTTCACTTTATTTTAACGATTTTATGACATTTGACAACTGTCAACTAACTTAAAACTAACTTCAGTTCGTGACTAAATCGTCATGAAGCTACTTGTCAATGTGTATTTAAAAGGTCACTTAGTGTCATGGAAACATGTGCGATAATGGGCGTTTTAAAGGTGGGAGTAGAAAAAATTATTTATATATAAAAGAGTTTTAAAACCATCAAAATTATGTTCCCAGAAACCGCTTAGATAGTCTTTAAAAACCACTTAAAATAGAAACCCGAAACGTAAATAATTTGATTTGAAACCTTTTTGAACAAATTACACTGGATAACGTTTTTTGCAATGTTTTTTATTTTTATATTGACCCTGAAATGCTAACCCTTACTATTTAAACTTCAAAACTAAAGCCCTTTTTAACGATGTCCCACTTACTGTACAACCTTTTCCTTATTCAAATTACAAAAGGGATGTTTAAGGGTCGATTTGACAAACCATAGATTAAATCTATGAAGAAAAACTAAATAATAGTGTAGTATTATTATGTATCAAGTTTGATAAACGCCATTTTATACACGAATTTAATTTAGGCACGAGCGAGCTTGCGAGCGTGTGCTTAAATTAATGATTGTATAGAAAAGTTTATATACGAGGTGCATACTATACTTTTTCTACGACAAATACTTATTATTATCTTAAAATGATTTAAATCAAAAATTTGTATAGAGCGCCATCTATGAAACAATAGGGGAATCTGTGTCTCACCGTCAGATGTCAAATTTTTACATTTTATAAACACAATTATAAAGGTTATAAATCGAAATTTATTTCTTGAAAATTGACAGTTACACAGAGAAGATAAAGAAAATGTTTTATGACCACTTTACAGTGGAGTCCGTGCCCGAATTTAAGTTATGATTTACTGCCGGCGAAATTAAAAGGTCAGTACAATGTTCATATAAACTTTTCAAATATTGGCGTTGAGAAACTATTTAATACTTTTGTATTTTTGTATTGAGATAATAAAATAATTTTCACATTTAGTATTATTTTACAAGAAAGGCAATTTATTTTAACGATTGTATGTCATTTGACAACTGTCAACTAACTTAAAACTAACTTCAGCCCGTGACTAAAGCGCCGTAAAGCCACAACTTGTCAATGTGTATTTAAAAGGTCACTTAGTGTCATGGAAACATATACGATAAAGGGCGTTTAAAAGAAAAATACATTTTTTACATTCTCCAAACACAAAAAACATACCCAATTAGTATTGCTCACTAAATAAATTCATTTCAATTTTTAACATTGTCTATGGTACCTTTTTAAGGAGGTTCGTTTACGATATTAGTCGCCATGAGAAAATGTTGAAAAAATTCAAGGTTGTAGTAGAGTCTACTTAAAAGACGTTTACAAAGTTTTAAAAAGATTAAATGTCTGGTTTTCGAGTAAAAATTTATTAAAGTTGCTAAGACTACAGGGAGTGTTATCGTTTATTAATGCTTAACTGTGAATGTGAATGTTAAAAAAATGTTCCACCGCACTGTTTTGCTAATAATAACGTAAAGTTGACTGTCCAACCAAAATTATCAATCTGTCATTTTGGTCTAGAAGTTCCGGCAACAGAGATATTTGGTTTAATTTATTTGGTGACTACCATAATTTCGTTTTTAAAAACAATTAATTAAAAAAAAACACAATCGTATTTATTATTTTTTTTTAAATAATTAGACAATAATTTTACCTTTAATGGTTTTCTAATCTTTGTTATCTGCTCTTCACGAGACTTTTGCTGCATTCAACATACTGCATGTTTTCTGTTGCTTTATTTTTGGTTTCCATACCTTTTTTTAATAATTTTTTCTTTGTTTCATTTCATAGAACACTCAGAAAAATGTACATGCACTGAAAATGAAACTAATTTTGTAAGCGATTAATAAAATAATATTATTTAACTTAAATTTCAAATTGTAATGGCTATAAAAAATGTACCACCTAAGGTACCTTTTTTATTAAATTTTCAGTGTCTTATTGGGCCAAAAACCTACGATTTGACAAAGTAATGAGATTATTTTTATTTACAGAATAAACTTTTTTACTGTTAATAAAATTCTCATTTACTATAATGAAGCGGCAATGTTGAGCTTTTATAAAAAAAAATGTTCATCCAACAAAGTAATAGTTGTTATGGCAATAAGAAATACTTTATGTTTATATTAAATCTTTGTCGAACTTAAAATGTTTTTGTTAAATCTATAGTTGTGTGTGAATTGCGCTTACATAAAGTAATGCGCAGTTGTTATATAACTATATAGTTATATTTGTTCACTTTACTATAGCATATTTGTTTTTTTAAATTACTATCGTTGTAATTCAAATTAATTTTATTTCATTTAGAGAATCTTTGTTAATAGCTTACGTTACGTTTTATTGCTATAAAAAG